CTGGAAAGCACCCGAAACGTCGGGTTATTAAAATTAATATAAATAAAACGCGATAAAATCCGTAAAAGTAGTTTTAATCAATGTATAGTGTTCGCGTAAATATAAGAAATCATTTTGCAACGTGTTTTCATAAATGTGATCAAAATCTGACTGAAATTCAGTACGTAACCATACCTGAAACTCATTTATTTTATTACTGCAATAACCGACATCAACTTGTGATTTTTGTAAAATATTGTTGTACAAGTCGTCGGTTTTTTTTTTCGGAAAATTGAAAGAAAAAAATTTAAATTAAATGAACGCAATTTGTTTTCAAAATTTTCGGCGGCCAAGATCGTATCGCTGTCTCAGTTCTGCGGATTGTCGCACATATCCAAAAACAAATTAATCAGATTATCTTTTTGTTTGAATACTGTATTCACAATTCGTAATGTATATATCCCACGAGTTTGGGGGCATTAGGCAATTTTTGCTGCAATGTGCATCATAAAAATTCGACCGTTTTGTGCTGTTCCACAATCCTGTTACAATATTTAGATAAAACGAATGCCAAAATGTGTACATTACACCAAGTATACATGGCTTGGGGACAAACATCTTAAACTTTTTGTTGCACTCCATTTCTGACACCGGACATGCGCCGTCATAGCTTTGCACAACTAGTTTTGTGGTGCAGTCATGTTTGTTTAATAATTCCAATATGATATTACAAAGTGTATCTGCCGTGCGATTTACAGACATCTACATACCCCAAAAAACGGCCATGAATATCGCTTCCATAATAATATCTGAGAATCAGAGACAATTGCTTGTCGCTTTGTTGATGCTGCATATGCTTTTCTAACACGAGATCGTACCTCGAAAGAAGCGATACAAGTTCTAAAAAAATGCCTCTATAATGAAGTTTTCGACTCGACTTAATGAAGTGACCTCTGAAAAGAAGTTCTTGTTGTGCTAAATGGCAAACAATATCGACTTATCTTTGAAAAACACTACGGTTGTGATCAACACGCATGTTGTGTTTTGTAATTTCCTCGGATAACTGGCGCGATAAAGACGTTTCAATAAGATTTTATCCAAAATTACTACACGAAATTACCGCATTCATGTATTTTTGAGAATTCATATGCCTTTTAATGGCTCCAGATAAGTTATTTAAATCATCCTATCCAGTAGTATTCCAAGCTGTTTTGTCGTTGGAAAAGAATATGCAGTACAACTTATCGGTATGTGAGCAGCCAAAATCCAATGAGTTTTGCAGACAGATCTATTAAATTGCCGTTTGTGGGTTTTACTCGTCTGAGAAATACACAGATCAGGCGTTGGTTTCGGCGAGGATATGAGCTGTTTTTATCAACAAATTTAAGGATTTTACCTTTTCCTCGCCGATTAGCACTTTAACACACTTCAATTCATCTCAAGGAACACTATTATCCTCCATTTTCACTAAAACCTTTAAAAAAGCATAAATTTTCAATTCGCAATATTCATTCGCTCAAGTAAACATTGAAATGTGAATTGAATTTGCAAACGTATCGCCCGCGCGCCCCCGCGCTCGACTAACTTCACACCGAATCCCAGCTTATCGCTCCATACTAATTGCTATATTTATAAGCAATCGTAGTTATGTTTCATTATAGAACATTTTGCCACAGGTTAGAAAGGGAGCGATCGTCTCCTCGAAAGCCTGGTAAAAAGCCCACGCGTGCGAGAGAGGCGATTAATCGCTCAAGTCAACTCCTTTTTCATGACAGCAGTATCGCGCAGTTTTGCCGCGACTGGGTTCCATCCATATTGCTTTGCTTTCATTAATTTTGACAGTCCATTACGTGTTAGCTTTGAGACAGAGAGAACACGAATTTGTGTATTTCGAATTGAAAGCAATCTGCCAAGCCAATTCAAGTGTTGCCGTTACATAACAAGGCTACGAGGTCATGACCTGTGTAGAAGAGAGGAGCGCGCGGGAAATTTGAAATAGTTTGAAACAGTTTACGAGTTAATTTATTAGTTGATATTATTGATTGAGCAGTTTGATAGGGCAAGCCCGGCTTCTCGGCTTCTATGGAGGCTTCGCTGCTGATAGTATGCTAACTTAAAACTGAGTCAAATGACATAAAAAGTCAATAAAGTGCAAGCTTAATTTTCAGAATGAATATTTTGTCATTAGCATTGTTAAAATTACTATTTTTATTACTTATCAGTCAGTCGTGATAGTTTTGGCTCAACTTAGAATAATTTTTTAATGACTGAATCTGACGACGTCACTACGACATCTTTCTGTCATTTATCATAGTCGCCTCATTTACCCACAGGATCAAATGGGGTGATTGATTCTCTTATGTTGTTTCAAAATCACACAGTACCACACAGTCCCTAAGAAAAATGTCAAAAATAGATGATAGACTGTTTTAAGATTTCTTTTTTATTCAACTACAGCGTATTAAATATTGTCATGTTACGAGTATTTTATGACAAACACTTTGTTTTATGTTTAAGGAAACCAATTACTTTTTATTAAAAAAAATTAAAAATTCTAGGAAAGTTTCCCTGTATCTCCACGGTTTCAGACTTCCCCAAATATCCGTCAACTTAATAGAAACACTGTATATGTGATGAAGTGATATTTGTTTTTTTTAAGATGTTTTAGATTAAATTTCTCATTTTCAGGTGTAAAATTCATAGTGGTAACAGATCCAAACATGCAGGGGACAGATGTTTTCCTCAAGCGTATCTATGAGCTGTACTCGGATTACGCCCTGAAGAACCCGTTTTATTCCTTGGAGATGCCGATCCGATGCGAGCTGTTCGACACATCGCTACACACGCTACTAGAACTGGTGGAGAAATCGGGGACTGCTAATTTATAGTTGTTGATGTAGATTTAGAACGGACATTCAGAAATATTTAGCATAATACTACCAAACCTTATTATCTAGCATCCCCATTAATTCATAAACTGTTCACTGCTGAACATGGGCCCTTTGTAGGTGAATCTCAGTACTAAAAGTTTCACACCTTCGATATTGTTCCGTGGTACTGGTCTGGTCGCTCTACACTTGGCATATATTATGAGATGGATATATTATAACGCCTTCTGTCGAAGGCTATGAGATCTAGGATTTCCCATTAATAACAGATTTACGTGATGATGGATTCATTTGCGCTAACTTATTGCAGTGTGTCTTATTTAACAGAATTATAACACACAGAAGCTTTTAGGTTGTGTGACCAATTTAACAACCTTTTATATGATGAACAAATAATATCATGAGACAAAATTTGACGAAAGATGAGCACGCAGTCCACCTGATGGTAAGTGGCTGTTGTGGCCCGTACACACCTACAACTCGCTGCTTAACTTCAAAACTACCACATGCCAAAAAGTATTAATTTTACAGGAGAGCCAATTGAAAATTTTTAGATTTAATTTTTTGAATAACTCAACCAAATCACGACCGAATACTCTATTACATGGGTATTTGCTTCCTTAATGACTTTAAATTAGTAATTCTGCACTTATGTTTAAAAGGAAGCATACAGAAGCAGATAAGTTACTTTTGAATATAAATTAAAGGTGTAATGACATCTAAAAGCTTCAAGCATTGTGAGATCATTCAGTAACTAGATATCTTTATAATAATTCTACTTATCATAGTCATAATTTGCTCTTTATGAATAAGTACTGTGTTATTCACAACCATGAAAATAATATCAGTTAAATGAAATGTTATAAAAATCAAACAGTCTTGACAATTTGTTATTTTTTCTATTTAACTAAAAACTACTATGAAAACTTATAAATAACATAACAATCCTAAAAAATAGTTTCAATAAAAATAATTAAATTAATATGCACTGAAAATCTAAAGATTTGCATAAAAGCTTTCGTAACATTTAGGTATAACATTTTTTTCTATTAATTTGATGATACCCTGCTTTTTTGTCTCCGAAACTTTCAGTTTTTGAGTATATCATTTCTTTAAAGTTGGCACTGTTGCAGTCTTAGTTTTCTTTTTCAATGTGTGTACCCTTTTAAAGTTTTTATCTTCATACGACGTTTTGAATAAAAATGTATCTCTGTTGTCCTTGGTGATTTTCATAATTTTATACGTGGTAGAGCCATGCTGCAGTTATATTAGTAGTATAATTGTAGCACGAATGGGTCGGCTCGACCGGGGAAGGACCACGCTCTCACAGAATACCAGCGTGAAATAGTAGCTTAATGCTGCTGTATTTCGTATGGTGAGTGTAGAGAACCGGAGACCCTTTTTACTGGAAACGAGGCATTCCATCTTAGTCCTCACGGGTGACAACACATCTGCATTTTGATTCGTAATCGAGGATAGATGTAGATGTATATGGGCCACAGCAACCACTTACCATCAGGTGGACTGTGTGCTCGTTTGTCACCCTATCCTATAAAAAAAAAAAAATGTCTGTCCACTTCACTTCCTCTCCGTCTTCACTTGTCGTGTAGTTTCCCGTAGCTAGTAGTAAAAATCTTCATACGTGAGTTCCTTTACATTGTACGGAGATTTTTTTTTGACGTCTTAATGAGTGTTATATACTGGTCTGGTACATAGATAGGCGATGCTTTGAGTGCTCTTGAGATATTTTTTTTGATATTTGAGTGTACAGAATCACTTTTAAGTCTTGGCAACTTGTTATTTGCATACTGATGGCCAGCATAAATTTATTTTTTTGCTGGCCGCAACAATTGTCGCTGTAAAAGACGACATCAAGATCTTCTTTGGCTTTATCATTTAAGGTTTTTAAATACATAAACACGTATGAACCTATTTCATTAACACCCTGGGCTCCTTGTCCTTCATGCCACACAAAACAAGATGTATTTTTGTGGCAAGTTCTGTTATGGTAAAATTTACAACATTCAATTTCAAGATGTAATAGAAGCTAGATATTTCACCTTGGGGGCATGGCGTTACCGCCTGCAAATCATAAACAGCAACTATAAAATTATCAGAAACTTTCTTTTTGTCTTATTCTTTTTCAGTTCGCGAAAGACATTTTTCTTTTAAGTGCAGTTCGTACTTTTCCCGTAAAGGAGTTTTATTTTCAGCATTAGCAAAAGCGACACAATCTTCGCACGGATCCTTTTTTGGTACCCAAAATGAGATGTTAAAGTCTTTAACGAAGATGTTATAATAATTTTGATACGAGACATAATCTTTACTCTCAAGCTTACATGCCTCAATATAGTCTCGGTGTAAAGCAGCAATTGTGTAGCCACCTTCAATAAAGTCCTGCTTTGTTTGCGCACGGCAATAATGGCTCTCAATTCTAGGAATCGAATTGATATGAGCCTTGACACCAGCTATAATGCTAGCATCCAATTTGAAGTGGCTATTATGTTTTCCTCTATTTTTAATGAAAGAGGCTTCTGTGAGTTTACAAGATTTTTTCAAACCCGTTCTTATGAATATATCTGAAATCGCAAGAGTGTGCATGAAAAAAAGTTTACAGATACGAGTACGCTGATTATTTAGAGGCAAATAGTATGCATTGTTTAAGTTATTCCGAGTAGATCCAACACGCGTATATCGATACTTAAGAACAATTTCAGACATATTATTTCGAACAAACTGCCGCTGATGTTCTAAATTGCTCAAGGCCCAAAACTCACGAAAAACTTTTTCACGGTTATTGGTACTGAATATTTCGTTACATTTCAATTTACATTAAGATAAAAAATAGAAAAATTGGTTTCTCCCGTTCCTTAAGAAGGATTACTATTGCAGACTGAGAATCACAAGTAGGTTGTTGTTGCTGTCTGCTGTTGGATTCAACTGGGTCGCTAGGTCCAGGTTTCGGTGATAAACAATCGTTAGAAGAAAAGAAATACTCTTCAAAATCCGAGTTTATATAATCATCTGAATTAACTGACTAGTTGGTGTCTTTAACGCTATCACCTGATGAGAAGTCAGTTCCTGTGTTTGATTGGTTCGCAGTATCACTTTCTTCGATATACTTATTTGGCCTTTTTTTCGATGGAGTATTTGGAAAAGAAAATGAATCTATTTCATCGAGTACTGAGTAACCGAGATCAGGCTGGCTGTTCGGAATAGAATTTGTGGAGACATCATTTAGATCCACGGCATCATTTTCTTGAGATATATTTTCAAGTGAATTTTCAAGCGGCATTGTGTTAGAATTATAGTTGAATGCGACTGTGCCTAGATCTCTTGGTATTTTTCCTGGACTGCCACTTTCATCGCAAACTCTATTTGTAACAAAGAAAACAAAACAAAATGATATTGTAATAATAATATGAATTAATCAAACGAAGACCATTAATTCCAAAGATAACTTCATTCAACTTAATATCTTTAAAATTAGTAAAGATATGTTAATACTCGTAACCACTTATACATGAACTTAGTAAATGTTTTATTAAATATAATATGATGTACTTACTTTTTTGTTAGGGGTTTGCCGGGACTCCCTAGCTCATACATCAACATATTTAGAATTCATTGCGCTCGATTGTTCATTCTTAAGAATATCATTAATTAATCACTAACTAAGCTTTTACAATTTAAAATACACTTTTATTATTAATTTTAACCCTCGGCGTGCCTGGTGGAAAAAAGTTTCATGGCGTGCCTGGTGGGTCTGTGAGACCCAAATTTTAAATATTTTTTTTCTCCTACAAATTGATATCAATGTAGTATATTTTTTGATTTTATAATAAAATTAAACATGTTTTTTAGGATTTCAAATAAAATACGTGTTCAAATTAATAATATTTTTAATAGAATTTTTAATTAAACTTTTACCTCGTTTTTAACGTATAATTAAACATCTTATTCATAAACATGCAAAATCAACTAAAACAAAAGAAATCACAATCAGACTTTGAGGATCATAAGGCACGTTAGGTTATCTTATATTCTAAGCTAAAATAATTAGTCTTCATCATTTTCAGGAACATTGCCTTTGAAGCAATTGCCACACTGGAATATTGCATGATCTAGGCACACATGGCTTTTGCACGTCTCACAGATGTATTGAGTTTTACGGTCTTTCTTTTATGAACAAACGTAACATCTACGCCTTACACCTGGATTTGTTTTTTTCACCGGTGGACCTTCGTCGAGACCAATACGGTCAGCAATTCGTTTGCGGAGATCTGTGGAAAGGTGAGTATTTTTCTGTCTTGTTTTTAGATGAGATTCTATCAATGCGATACCCAGATCTTTGATAAAATTTCTGCGATTGTTTTTGCATCTGAAGAGATCATTGATCAGGGAAGTTCAGCATTTGAATAATTTTTGCATTTATACCTGCAGAGTTCAGCAACCAGAAAAACAGAGTGAGCGGCCATCTTCTGGAGTTTCTTACAGATTTTCAGATCCATCGTAAGATCTAATAAGCTTGTCAACGTTGTCAACACCACTTTTAGTTTTGTTATAGAATGTAATAACTGCCGGTTTTTGTTTCTCGCCTGATTGCAGGTCGATTTCCACATCATAATGGAGAGATTACAGCAGGAACACTTTTTTTCTAGGTTTTGGGACGTATGATACTAAAGTCGTATCTTTTCGAACTGTGATGAATACATTGTTGAATTTGTTTTGAATTTTTCAGGTATGCAAGTTTTTTTGATTTCATTGTACCGACAGCGGTTAGCTTATGATGATTTAGCAAGTGTTCATATGTTGGATAGCTCGTAAACCAGTTGTCCATCGTGATATTTCTCCCTGACTGAGAAACTGGCGCGACGAGGCGATCGACTACATCGTGAGGCTTATTGCTGACCTTATAAGGTCCCTCTGGTTGCTCGCCTAAATAAATCTCCAAATTCAGAGAGTAGAATGTTTTGGCATCTACGAGCGCAAATATCTTTATTCCATATTTACCTGGTTTATTTGGCAAATATTGGCGAAATTTGCAGCGACCACGGAAAGCTACAAGCTCTTCATCTAGAGTCAAATTTTCAAAGGGCGTGTAGTGTTGTTGGCATCTGCTAACGAATTCTTCGAACAGTTTCCTGAACGGGGCTAGTCTGTCCTGTGACAGTCTTTCTTGACGTGTATCAACATCATCAAATCGCAAATGATTGACAATAAAAACGAATCTTTCAAGCTCATTGTCATAGCAAAAATAGGAATACCAGTTCCATCATTACACCACAAGTCTTGTAAATTCTGCCTTGCAGATTTATATAATCCCGCAAGGTAAATTAGACCAATGACAGCCTTCAGCTCATCCATACCAACTTCTGCATAAGCGTAGTCATTTGAAATGTTCAGACCAAGTCTCGTTCTTCGGATTCTCACATTTGTATGAATTAGTATATCCAGCAACATAGACTCGCCCACAAAAAGATTGAAACACTCTAAAGGAGTTTTTGCATCTCTCGCTAATACTTTGACACCCGGTGTTCCAGATACTATATTTTCACTACGTGTTCGAACGTTTGATCTAGCTGGAATTTTGTATCACAAAGTTCCGTCTTTACCTTTGTAAGTTCTTCCTGAGGGCCGCGAAGTTAACTCTGACAGTGGCACGTCCACTTCAGAATCTGAAGAGTTCTCATCATCAACTATTTTGAAGAGGTCTTCCTCCGAATCGATCGAGTCGGTTTCATAAGTTTCTTCTGTAACCTCATCAGACACTTCGTCGCTGGAGTCGAATACAATATCATCCTCGGGATCTTCGTCCACTTCTTCGAGTAGCAAACTAACGATTTCCCTGTCCTGTAAGGACCTCTCCATTTTGAACTGTAAAGAATATGATACTATGAAGTTGAATTCCAAACAAAATAAAGAACTTTATGAATAAAATACATCAAATTCGTAAAAAGACAAATTAAAACAATAATAATCTCGAGTATTATATATAAAATATGTTACTATTTAAAATATTATGTTTATTTTTAACAAATTAACGACATAAAACCACTAATAGCAACAAATGAATTCTTACATGAAAACGTCACGCCGTATGCCTGGTGGGGTCTGCGAGACCCGAGAGCACTTTAGACACGTCCTTTCACTACTGGAGCATGCCCCGGACGAGGTAGCGGACGGAGGGCGTCAATTAGTTCACTACGGTCAGCTACTGAGAGCAGTTGCGAGCGAATTTCAAATTACAATGAATTATAACGGTTTAACGGCTGCGGTGGGTCTCACAGATCCAACCAGGCATGCAGAGGGTTAAACGAAAAATGGGTACAAAAATGTTAAAAATCATAACATAATGCTAATAATCGAACACATTACTCTCCTTTTGAGTATTCAGGTTACATAAAAGACGTTACAGAGCAATAAAATTTAAATAATCTATAATGCTTTACATTCTAAAAACGGAGACGATTAGTAAATACTACTTTTAATTGTAATATTTTATTTAATTTCAATATTGTTATGTATCAAAACAACATTATAGCAAAACAGTAAGTTTTAGTTTAAAAATTTAATAAAATTTTCATTGAAAAATTTATGTAAAACAAACGTATTCCATATACAGCATTTTTGTTGATAAATTAATTGAATATTTGTATTTTCTTTTTAAGCAAAACAAGTGTATTACAAAATGTGGCTCTTTTATCTTAAAATAAAATTGTGTACTTTTGAATTTTAAATTCAAAACAACGACATTCCGTAATATGGTGCTTTTGACTATAAAATATGAATGAAACTTACATGGTTTTTTGACATGTGGTAGTTTGGTTCCAAGAAAACGTGCGTTCACGCTGGCAGCCCGACAACAACTAACAATATGGCGGTTTTGACTTGAAGTTAGTCGCAAAAGGTCAAAATTCAAAACAAATGTTTCGTATATTTTTGTGTGTTTTTAAGTTTTTAATCAACGAGTGTCTTTGATTCAGGTAAAAATATAATAGATTATAAAATTAATTATACAATAAAACCAATATTCATCTTTTTTTATTTATGGTAGTTTTGAATTTAAGTAGCGAACTATCCACAATTAAGAATTAAAATACAGATGCGTTGTCACTCGTGAGGGCTAAGATGGAATGCCTCGTTTCCAGTAATAAGGGTCTCCGGTTCTCTACACTCACCATACGAAACACAGTAGCATTAAGCTTTTATTTTATTGCTGGTATTCAATTATAGTGTTTCCCTAGTTTTGTGTAATTACTACTTCACTTAACCCAGTCCCATGTATTTACTCTACTTATGCTTACAATAATTGATTGTGTCAGAATTGTATGATATTATGTACTCATTCTGTGCGTTTTAACTTTGTGTTGTCTAAACCATTGGATTAATTTGTGCAATAAGAGTAAATGGTACTTGAGTAATGTTCGAAACCATTAAAAATGTTTGAGATGTGCATATAATATTCATTTAAGTTTTATTTATTTTTAAATATTATGGAATAAATCCACAACAACGTGTAATAAAATGTATATAAGTTTATTTTTTCTTTTCATTTAACCGATCTATATCATATTGTGTAACAAAAATTTTATATATACATACACAACATATATTAAAAAATACATAGATGTACAGGGGTTTTTTCAGAGGATTAAACTTTAATATTTAAGTTCAAACATATAGATAATGATATGCCGCTATTGCAGTTTTTGAAAATACGAGTAAATAAGGCTTCTACTTTTATTTGAAATTATCCAAGTTGAATGTGAGTCATTGGGCAACGCGTACACGCGATCTACGCAAACTACACGTACGCGCGACCCTCTGCGTGCGATTTAATTCACAACGTTTATGCCGACCGAACGACCGTTACGAATGTCTGAGTGCATAGTAAAATAGTAGACGTTAGATATTTATGAACGTTGACAATAACTTAATGCATTCTGAATTTAAAAGATAAAAAGGAATGAAAGTTGGAGATTTTTTAAAATAATTTTTGTTTTCACAATTTGCCTTTATTACTTATTCTGAACCATCTCCGCAAATTTGGCCGTATATTGTAAAATAATCCTGTACATACAAATATATCATATCACAGTTAACAGGGGTGTGAAATAAAACCATGTTATATTTTACAATAAAAAATTTATTGATATAATAATTATATTTATTTATAACAATCGAAACGCTTGGGCTTGGGCCCCCACACGCACGTCGCGGAACAATACGCAAGTTTACGTAACTTAACCGAGCGCTTTGTACTTGCTACACCACACGTAAATTATTGCCTGATACTCGGTACAGAGGGACCTCCGGGACGACTGCTTACGAATCGGGCAACACTAAATAAATGAGTGCTAATAACCTTACGCTCACCAGGTGTCGCTAGGTGGACCTGAGGTGAGCTTATTTGTTATGTAGATGGTCACACAGTGTCATCATTGAAAAGCTTCGTTTTAAAAGTTTTTCGGTTATTATGTATGTAAAAAAAATTAGAATACAGCATTGAGGCATTATTTTATGTATATGAAACAATGCCTCAGTGCTGTATTCTAGATTCTTTTACACATTTCAAACTTTATTTTTAACTCTTCTACTTTTAGGAAAATCCGTAGCTTGTTCTATTTCCTATTCATTTACAAAGAAACATTAATCTCTACATTTTTATAAAAAAAAAACTTCTCTCCACCAATGGAATCCGATGATATGAATCTATTTCATCTCATACATAAAGGCGCCGCCCTGGTGGCAGAAAATGTCGCGGATGTCCTCATTAGCCTATATTATGCTGTTACCACACTTAATTCTGTGTTACTTGTAGTGTGGCCCAAGCATAATGGTCACAAAGAAGGCGCGTCTGTGCTCGACTTTGTGCCTATTGCATGAAGTTGTACACTCAAATGTATCTAAAAATAAAACACACAATCAACGATATGAGTAAATATTGCCCGGGATCCATCAACAAGTGTTCGATAACCTAAAAATACAGTACTTTTAGCATTAATGGCTGACAACAGAATTTTTCAATCCAGTTTTGGATAGGTACAAGCGTACAACTGACTAACATGATGCTTTTGAGAACATAACCAAAAGGGACCGAGTTGGACTATAGTCTAACCCTGTTTTTTTGTTACTCTTCAAAAGGAATGTTATATCCAAGCAGAAGTCAATCAGACGCTTTAGAAATCCAAGTACATCGGACAACCTCGTGCGAGATTCAAAGTTCGGTACAAAAATAGAGCCGATGACGGCGTCGTGTTAATTCTGAGCGTTATAATTACTTACATATTTTAAACCCAAATCTTAAACCTATCCTGCGATCCGCGGAGGGCCTCCTGTAGAGGGCGTCACTTAACAATACAAAGACAAATTTAAAGTTTCATCGCGCTAAGCCATTGTCAAGAATGATTTAAGAAGTCCATTTAACACATTTCTTTCGATCGATTAGTTTTCCCTGTGAAAAGTATTCTCAAGTATTGATACATATGGAAATAATTTCATTTTGTCCTCGCCTATTCTAACCTATTGCTAACTTATCTACGCAGCCCACTCGACCCTCCGCAGCATCCACAACTCATCATGAGTATATAAAACCTTGTTCCCGCAACTCTCCGAAGTTGCGCACAAAGCACAAAATAAATAGTCGTTATTTTGTGCCCAAAGAATGTCGCTGGGAATTCGCAGCTAATATTACTCACATGTATGAAATTCCACCATTATATAAAACTACGAAATTTTCTCTTGTTACATCTAACGCTATAAAAACCGTTTACGGCGATGTGTGTGTTGACCTTAACGCATGAGCTCAATCTTTATTTTTTGTCTATATTTATTGCACTTGTTCAATGGCACGGCATATTGCACGCTCAATATAAATAGGTACGCGTTATAAATTCGTTAGGTTTGTTCTAAAATCACTCAATTTTTATTTTGGGACTTTTGAATAATTTTGAACAACTAACTTTTAGATTTTATTATGTTATATCTAGCATTATATTAAAAATTTAATGCAATACGCTTCGTACATGTTCTAAGATATATGTACAGGGTAATTAATCGAGCAATGTACGACAAAATAGTTTTTGTTAATCATTGAGATTTAACGAAAAAATCTATATCACAAGATATTATTACTTCAGAGATTTCACATACAGTATCTCAGTATATATTTGTCACAATACATTCATAAGTTCTTACAACACTGACAGCAAGTCACAGATGGTTCAATTTAGCGGTCTCCATGTGTTTGTTAAGCATATACTCAAAAGTCATACACCATTGTGAATTGCAAATTCATGTAATATTAAAAATGCTTGAATACGCTGGCAGTGTGATTACAATCTTTTGTTGCTTTTTGTTGGCAATTATTAGCTAAATTTGACATAGACTAAACTACAAACAAACTTAGGTATGGAAACGGGATCCAACCGACAAGCGGTCTAAAAAAGTTGTTTACTCATATGTAAAAGTAATCCCTGCTGTATATACTTTAACATAAGACTAAAAAAATCAATTTGGACAAGAAGTGAACAAAAAATATAATAAAAACAAGTGGTAAAATTAAAAAACTTGTACAACCGACTTCAATATAAACAAAATGAGAACATCATCAATGTAGTCGAAGTCAATTACTTAGATATTATTAAGGATAACTCAAAAACTACTGTTCAGATCTTGATCAATTTTATATGGGACCACACGAGAAGCACCAGCTTTCAAATAAAAAATCATGAAAATCGGTTCATCTAGAAAAAACTTAACACACAAAAAATAAAATACAATCGAGTTGAGAATCTCCTTTTTTTGAAGTCGGTTGAAAAACAAGAAAAATTAAAGCCAAGCTATTATCACTAGATCCCCATTTACGTTTAAACGTTAACATCACAAAAGTAATTTTTGTGGTTTGTATACTTTAAGAAAGTTTTATCCTTTTTGTGGGTTTTGTCCTTTTTGGAATACCTACGTTCTAATAAAGGTTTTCGACATTAAAAAACTTAATAAAAAATTAAAGAACTTTGTAAATATTGTTGAAAAGTGCAAAGAACAGGATAAAGGAGAATTAAGAGTATTAGTGCTTTTGATAGTATTCAGTTACAGTGGGGTTAGTGTTTTCTAACATGTTAGAGAAAATTTGTAGAAATTTTATAGGTATATTACAGTTCTGCGTCTTGGGTCATATAAATGGCTAGGTACAAATAGATCATGTTAGTGTTGACAAAATTGTTGCAAGGGTTTATATTCCACTGGAATAAAAGAAGGTACTAAATATTTTTACAATATTACATTATCTTTCAATCTTAGTTCGAATTTTCAGTTGTTATCAATATTAAATTAATAAATAAGGTATGTATTTCTTCAAACATTCATATTATTTTTATACAACCAATGTATAGACTTTACCATATATATTGCTTTAGTATCATTTGGGTAGTTCATATCATGTAATTTGAACCTGCTAGTAGAAATAGAACACTCTCATGTTATTTCCTCATAAATATATTATTGACTTGAAATTAAATTAATTATTGATTATTTAAAAAAAAACTATGAGATCGATACTCGACCACTGGAAGGTAACGTCTTTGAATGGTATTCCTGTACAATAAATAAAAAAAATATGGCTACTTTTAAAAAAAAAGTTTTTCAATCGACACATTAATATTTTTTGTAATGGTCCGAGTTTTATGTACCTTTGAATTGATGTAATATCCTTTGATGACGCCGAAAATATTTCAAAAACACTTTTAGTTGGACAAAAGCAATATAACGTTAACTATTCGTGGTTGTCGTTTGCCGCATATATTCAATTTATGTGTAAAATAAATAAACAGACAATAAAATTTGAACGTATGTGTTTGAGAAGCGAAGGAGTCGCACGCAGTCCGTGATCATCGGTAGAAGCGGGCCGGCACCGCCCCGTGCTGCAGCAGCTCGCTCCAGGAGAAGCCGGGCGGGGGGCGCGGTGGCTAGGAGCGCGCCGGGAGCTCGCGGCCTGCTGGGGGATCCCGGGGGGTCGGGGGCGTCGGGGGGTCGCGCGGGTCTCGTGCCTCGCGGGGCCCCCAGAGGCGCAGCGTGAAGTCGTCGGAGGCGGAGACCAGCACGTCGTGGTGCACCGGATTCCAGGACACGGCGTTCACGCAGCGCGTGTGGCCCGACACCACCGCGATGGGCTCCTCGCCGCTCATGTGCCAGATGTACACCTGCCCACACACGCGCCCGTCATACTTCACCACACAGAGGTCAACATTTATTAATGTAATAAACAATGTCCGCGATATCGAATTTCACACACAGCGGCCTTCTCAATGGCGAAAACATCACTGTAATGACCTCCAGACAGAGTTATGAGACATCTGTGCGGGACAGGATTATAGTGCACGAGTGCAAGCTTAAGCACAAGCAAATCCCGGATCGCGAGATCACTTACTGAAATTATGTCCTTTCATTAACGCTGCTGAACAGATGCCCTTTCTGTTAGGTTGGCAACAAACAGCAGTTTTTGTAGTTGTAAGTTGTTATCAAGAACATGGTGCTGCCCGTTTCCGGTTCACTTTCCCCTGTCTCTCACGACACGCACGAGGCAATATATTACAGTGGATATTCCTACACGTCCCCTTCACGGTTATTCACTTCATTTTACTCGTATGTATTCTATGACGGATTAGTAAGATGGAGTGGCAATGGGCCGCCCATATAGCTCGAAGAACCGACTGCTGATTGGGAAGAAAGGTTCTCGAGGGCGGCCCCTACTAGACGGAGTGAAGATCTGGTAAGACATGCACGAAATCGACGGATGCAGGCTGCTGAGGACCGTGCTTTGTGGTGTTCCATAAGGGGAGGCCTGTGTTTAGAAGTGAACCTGTGAAGGACTGTAATGTTAAGGAATAAATCACAAGCTCAAGGTAACAACTGGGTCTTATCCCACATGGATTAAGACTAGTTAAACAACACCTTTCGATCTTTCGTGTAAGTGATTCAAGTACTTAAAAAATATCCATATGACAATTAATGATTAGATGATGATGGATAATCATTAATGATAGAATTATTGAGTGACTACGTTTCGGTAGTGGATATTCTTACATCGCCACTACACGGTTTAACACTGCTAGCTACTAATACTAAATGCTTAACTATGCTATGTGATGATAATGATGTAATATAAGAAGGACGCTATCGTTCAACGTACCTTATTATCCTCGCTGCCGGACGCTATGAAGTCTTGCTGTGCGCCGCCGAAGCACGCGTGTATGGTGAAGTGGCCCTGGCTCAAGCCTCGAAACCGACGCACCAACGCCCGAGCACCTGCCAGAATAACTTGCTACGTATTTGCCTCCGTATTATCCGGCTCGAAGGACCGTTTAAGTGGGGCATTTATTTTAGGCCATTTGGTTTTTTTATAGAATAAGGGCGAGCGCACAGCCAACCTGATGCTTAGTGGATGCTGTGACCTATCCTGGTATATATCTATCCTCGATTAAGCAAAATGCAGCTGCGTTGTCACCATAGAAATCGTAATAACATACAATAGAAGTCGCATAGATGCGCGACCTTGTCGTCGCTTATATAGGTTGACGAACATGATTCACCATTTTGTGATTTACTTGTGCGGGGAACGTCGTCGGTGAATTTCTGTTATTATAAATTTATAATGGTGCACTGCAGCATAATTAAACTAATAAAGGCATATCATTTCATCAGTAAGTAGATTATTTACTAATTATCATTGTTTTAATTAATTTACATCTAGATGAATACTTTACTATGACATTTACCTTTGCAAACTCATTTATTACTTTTCGCATTGAACAATTACCATTTCTTCTTTTGTTCTACCTTAATACGCAACGCACGCGATGTTAACAAACTCCCAAATCAATGTAATGTGAAACATTAAACATCATTGTGCATTGCGTATGTTTATAATACTGTAAGATGTGGCGACATCGGGTTTGGAAGTAATCGAACGCTAATTCATTTCTATTATCGTATTATTACGATTTCTGTGGTTGTCACACTGAGATGGCATATCTTGTATCCAGTATAAATGATCTCCGGTTCTCTACACTCACCATACGAAATACAGCAGCATTGAGCTACTATTTTATGCTGGTATTTTGTTTGAGCGTGGTCCGGTCCTATCTTGGTTGAGCCGACCCATTTGTGATTCAACCATAATATAGGTACAGTGTGGCTCTACCACATATATTTATTAATATTTTATAGTAACTTTGATACTTATAGAATCTCGCATCAATTCTCATATCACCTAAAATTGATTGGAAGAGAATTCCCCAAGACGTTAAGTTGAGTGATGTAAATTATACTTTAGTGTCTACAATAAGGATCATTTTTATTAATTAGCGTATACAACGCAAAGTACAACTCACGTATGTCCCAGAGGTGCACGCCTTGGTTGGCTACGTTGAGCAGTAGCAGCGTATCGGCTGCGTTTAGCGTCATCGCCATCACCGCGTGTTCCTCCTGGATCCTGCACACCAACCCCATATCATTACTGCAGGCTCAACGATATCAGGCTAATATTTGGGATTCTTCAAGAAATTTAAACCCAGTATAAGAAAGGGGATTCCATTTCAATAAGAAATGATAAGTTGGACAAATTGTTTAATGGTTCATATACAGTAGTTAAAGATTTAGGAAGTAAAGTAAAATAAAAATGGATTGAAATAAAACAGACACAGTACATGAAATCTGGACTTAAGTATATACACAATAAGGAAACTTTTGATTGAATGTAAAGTACATTATATTAAGAAGACTATAACTGTTGTCTGTAAAATATGATGTTGTGGATAGAGGCATGAAATGTTTTAGTGTAAGTTGAGTGGCAATAAACCGACTGATGCTTGGGTCATTCGTGTCTTTTACTATATTTTAACTACTCTCCGTACAGCACACATCGGAAAATAGCTCTAATACTTATTTAAAAAGTACGGAATTGCTTAATAAAAGTTGTGAGGTGTAATTCTCACTTGAAAGATGATATAAGATGATGATAAAGTTGCTATAATACAACGATAGATATGATACTAGAATGATAAAGAGAAACGACTGCTTAGGATGAATGCCAGTAATGTACTTATTGATGATCATTCCGCATATGCTATGTTAATAAGAGTATTAAGTTAACAGAAATAAATACATATTATAGTATTCACAGGTCCTTGGTTCAGATCCGGCTCGAAGGACTAATATGAGAGTGTATAACGAATGAGTGAGTTTAGTTGATCAAGTTCAAGTTTTGTAAGTACGGTTTACCTCAGGGTGAGCGTGTTTGGTATATGGGTGAGTGAATGAATATACATTATGTACACTCCAACTTTCCACGGCTCATGACTTTCTTGACTCTCTGAAAGTTATTTTTTCTTCACTTTATCCTTCTATGCAACTCACTATGAGCGAATGAGCGGTGAGTTAGCGGCTACTGATACGTTGTGGTCAATGAAGCAGAAGCTGCGCACGCGGTATTAGCGTGCGTGAGTACGTACACGTTGCGGTCGGTGAGGTCGGAGAAGTCGTAGCTGCGCACGCGGTGGTGCGTGTCGGCGGCCAGCACGCGGCCGTCAGCGCGGCAGGCCAGCGCGTTGACGCGCACGCCGTCCCAGGAGTTGAGCAGCGCGCCGTCCGCGCCGCACTGGTAGAACTGGCCGCGCGCGCCGCCGCATACGAACTTGTCGGAGCCGCGCTGCCACGCCGCCGCCGTCAGCGAGTCCTCGCTCGAGTGCGACATCTTCACGTGCAGCTGCTCCGTCTGCGCAGTGTGTACTCATTCATTCATTCAAGTATTAATTTATATATGCAACTGTTCATATATTCATTCAAGCATTAATTTGTTATTTATTCATTCATTCCTTTATTCATCTGTTTTCCCATACAATCTGCATTCATTTCTTCATCAAATTACTCTCACATTCATGCATCCTGTTATTCATTCATTTATTTCTAATTTATTTAATCATCCATTGATGCATTCATTTAATCATTCGTTTATTCATTCATTCATTTATTTATTTACCTATTTATTGATACAGGGTTTTTGCAATAACCAGGCAAATTTCCAAAGAAGATTCAGAATAAATAAAATAAACAAATGACGAAGAAAAATTAATTTAAAAAATTCAAACATTTGAGTCTTTTTATCTTTTAGATTCAAAATACGTCATTTCATCATCATCATTACAGCCCTTCACAAGTCCACTGCTGAACATAGGCCTCCCCCAAGTAATGCCACAAAGCACGGTCCTGAGCCACCTACATCCATCGACTTCCTGCATATCTTACCAGGTCGTCACTCCATCTAGTGGGGGGTCGCCCTACACTACGCCTAACGGTACGAGGCTGCCACTCGAGAACCTTTCTTCCCCATCTGTTATCGGTTCTTCGAGCTATATGGCCGGCCCATTGCCACTTCAGCTTACTAATCCGTTGGGCTATGTCGGTCACTCTGGTTTTACTGCGGATATCCTCATTTCTGAGTCTATCACGCAGAGAAACTCCGAGCATAGCCCTCTCCATAGCTCGCTGAGCGACCTTGAGCGTCCTCATACGGCCAGCAGTGAAGGACCACGTCTCAGATCCGTAAGTCATCACTGGCAACACGCACTGGTTGTACAATTTAGTTTTTAGAGATTGAGGTATACCTGACGAGAAGATATGTCGTAATTTCCCGAACGCTGCCCAGCCGAGTTGAATCCGTCGATTGACCTCTCGGTCGAAGTTGGACTTACCTAGTCGGACTATTTGTCCCAGGTAAACATACTCGTCAACAACTTCGAGCATAGTGCTCCCAACAACTACCGGCATAGGTGTGACATGGACATTACATATCAACTTTGTTTTGTCCATGTTCTTCTTAAGACCTATCCGTTGGGAGGCACTGTTGAGGTCATTGAGCATAGTGCTTAAGTCCTCCAGCGATTCTGCCATAAGGACTATATCGTCGGCAAAACGAAGGTGAGTGATGTACTCGCCATTGATGTTAATACCATATCCTTTCCAGTCCAGTAGCTTGAAAACGTCTTCCAAAGCAGCGGTGAAGAGTTTCGGGGATATAACGTCACCCTGTCTTACACCTCTCTGCAGTTGGATAGGTTTCGAGCTCTGGTTCTGTACTCGGATAGCCATCGTAGCCCTACTGTACAAACACTTCAGCACTTCGATATACCGACAGTCAACTTGGCACCGCTGAAGGGACTGCAGCACCGCCCAAATTTCGACGGAATCAAAGGCTTTCTCATAGTCCACATACGCCAGGCAAAGTGGCAAATTGTACTCTTCAGTCTTCTGTACAATCTGCCGCAGGGTATGTATGTGGTCTATGGTACTGAAGCCTTTTCGGAAACCGGCTTGTTCGGGAGGCTGGAAGTCGTCGAGTCTGCGTGCGAGACGATTCGTAATGACTCTCGAAAACAGCACGTAGACGCGGCTCAGAAGGGAAATCGGTCTGTAGTTCTTCAAGAGAGCGTTGTCGCCTTTCTTAAAAAACAAGACCACCGCACTTCTGCTCCACGGCTCTGGAGTGGTGCCACCATGGAGGACGGAATTGAAGAGCTTCTGAAGGACTTCAAGTACCGGTGTTCCACCCGCTTTCAGAAGCTCCGCTGTAATTCCATCCTCGCCAGGGGCCCTGCCGTTTTTAAGGTGCTGGAGAGCCATTCTAATCTCGCTTAGACTGACGTCCGGGATATCATCGGAATAGTGTCGGATAAGACTTGCTCTTGGATCGTTACTCACACTTGCGTGTGGCTCCAACGATGATGTGTACAGCTGCCCATAGAACCTCTCAATCTCACTCAACATCTCAGATGTCCCGGAAACGATGCTGCCACATTCAGTCTTCAGCTTTGACAGTTGGCTCTTTCTGGCAGACAGATCTCTGGCAAAGACTTTGGAGCCCTGGTTCCGCTCGATCGCTTCTTTAATACGAGCAGTATTAAAGTTGCGTAAGTCTCGCCGCATGCATTTGGAGATCTGTCTGTTCAGTTGCCTGTATGCTGTCAAATCTGTTGACGATTGCAGCCTCATCTCCCGTCTAACAGCCATGAGATTAAGAGTGTGATCGGAAAGTTTTTGTGTTCTTCTGCGGTGGGTCTTGCAGAACTTAGCTCCGACCGCATGGACAGTTTCCACGAGCTTGTCATTCATATCGTCCACTGCATTGCAATCTTGTAGGCACTGAAAGCGGTTGTGTAACTCGAGCTGAAAGTTTTCGGGATTCTGGATTAGAGCACGAGGGGGACGGAGCGTTGACTTCATTAGACGAGACCTCTCCAACTTAACGTTTAGGTTCAGTGTGCCTCTAACCATTCGGTGATCGCTGCCAGTTTTCACCCTTGCGATCACTGAGACATCACTGAACAGTTGGCGTCTGGTCGTCATAATGAAGTCAATCTCATTTTTTGTGGAACCGTCGGGGCTCGACCAGGTCCACTTCCTGTGGGGCCGCTTCTGGAAGAAAGAGTTCATCATAAAGAGTCCCTCTTTCTCCATAAAGTCGACCAGCTGCTGGCCCCTTCGGTTCCGTTGCCCTACTCCAAATTTCCCTAACTTCAGCTCACCACTTTCTCTTGTTGCTAGTTTTGCGTTGAAGTCTCCCATCACCACCGTGTAGTGGGTTTTGGAGGAATGCATGGCTTTGGAAATATCCTCATACATTTCCTCTACCTCCTCATCGGGATGTGCCGAGGTAGGTGCGTAAACCTGTATGACCTTCAGCGAATACCGTTTGGTGATTCTGAGTATCAGGTACGCGACCCTCGTCGACACACTCCCAATCTTTACAACGTTGTTGACGAGAGACTTGTGGACGATAAATCCGACACCTCCTTGGGACAGATGGTCGCCCTCCCGGTGATAGAAGAAGTTGCCGGATTCGAGAATCACCGTGTCCTCTCCCTCTCTTCGGACCTCGGATAATCCTATAATACTCCAGCGCAACTTGTCTATCTCTTCTTCCAGCTCCAGGATCTTCTCGTCAGTCCTCAGTGTGCGTGCGTTAAATGTTGCCAGGTCGAGTCGTCGTAGGTGGCAACCGAACCTCCACCGGAGATTCTAAGCACCCCCTGCCCCGCCGTTACCATGGTCGCCACCGTAGCCAGGAGTAGCGGGGCCGCCGGGGACTGGGGGCCGTCTATTTGTGTAATTGTTCATGGGGGGTATATTGCCATAGTTGCCACGCTTGGCGAGCGGGTTGGCAACCGCAGTTTTTTTTTGTCGTACAGTTGCTGTTATCAAAATACGTGGTAATGCATAATTTAACTGATATACTTGCCACGCTTAGCGCACACATACGTAAAGGTACATCTATCAGTAAGCAAAAACGTTGTTACCCATAAATCACATTCAACTCGCGATAATTTCAAAAGTAAAAACCTTATTTACTCGTATTTTCAAAAACTGCAATAACGGTACTTTATTATTTATATATTTGAACTTTCATTTAAAATTTTGCTACTGTTAACTAAAATAACCCACTAGTTATTTTTAAAGGTAGCCAAATAACTTTTTTATCATTAATTATCATTACAATTCTATATTAAACATTGCGATTCCATAACCATAGTTTTATTATATACTAACTTTAGAATAGATTGACTATGCAATATAATATACAAAGTGAAAGTGTAAACACCGTTGTCACTAAAACTATAGATAATTGGCTTTAATATAAAAATATTTATCCGAATTTAAAAAAAAACGCTATTTTCTTTCATAAAATTTAAAAAGTTTTTGTCCGACACCGCCCGTAAATTCATGGATACCACCCTATGCGCCCAAGTAACGTAATCTCTGTAAAGATCACCGCCTGCGCTAGCTACCTACACAACATTTCAATAAAAACACAATAGGTACATATAACCAGTGATGTAACTTTTCCTTCATACTTTCATCCTGGCTTAGAACAGGCAAAAATTGAGGATTTAAGGAAAAATTGAGATTTTACTGAAAAAAAAATGTTGTTATTTTTCATTGAATTTACGTTCTATAAGTGAAACCAAACCACTGGTTTCAAGGATAACGGTGTTTACACTAACAGCCTGTATATAATAGATACAGTTAGATGTTAGAGCGAAAAAAATAGGCGAGTCATTCGTGTACACGCTATCAGCCTTGCATTAGACATGAACGAAACAAATCCAAGTTGTATTTGCAAATTCTCAACAAAAATAATTACTACCCGTGCTGTTAAAGAATTGGATTGAAAATGGCTTCGCTTCTATTCAACTTTCGTTCGCACACAGTCGCCGGTAAAGTCTGCAAAAAAATAACTTGCGATATACGTTTTTAGTTCCTCAGTCCCACTTGTTTTTTTTTATATATATGATAGGGTGACAAACGAGCACACAGTCCACCTGATGGTAAGTGGTTGCTGTGACCCATAGACATCTACATCTATCCTCGATTACTAATAAAAATGCATATGCCTTGTCACCCGTGAGGACTAAGATGGAATGCTTCGTTTCATTATTCGTGAACAAATCAAATCCAGATTGTATTTGCAAATTCTCAATAGACATAATTACTACCCGTGCGGATAAAGAATGGGATTGAAAATGACGTCGCCTCTATTCACCTTTCGCTCGCACACTGTCGCTATCTTTACTCACCCCCCGGAAAATACTGCAAAAAAAATACATTACGATATGTGTTTTTAAATAAGCAAGATCACTCACGCTCACGTACACGCTATCGGCCAAACATTTTCTTCAGTCCAACTTGTCATTGGAATCAATGATAACAAATTCTCAAAAACTACAAAAAAAATCGATCCGTTTTTGCTAATTTGTGAGATACGACGCATTGTGAGAGTTCCCTTCGTAATCAATTATTGTTGATTATGTTTGTTAACATTTTTGTATAAAATATTTATGTCATTGAGACATGAGTAACTACTTTCAAAATGTTCGTTGGTGTCTGTCCGAGCTAATCTGTGGACTGGCTGAACCGATTGTAAAAAAATTCACAAATTCATCAATCATCATCAAATCAAAAATGTATGTGGTCTATGGTACTGAAGCCTTTTCGGAAACCGGCTTGTTCGGGAGGCTGGAAGTCGTCGAGTCTGCGTGCGAGACGATTCGTAATGACTCTCGAAAACAGCACGTAGACGCGGCTCAGAAGGGAAATCGGTCTGTAGTTCTTCAAGAGAGCGTTGTCGCCTTTCTTAAAGAACAAGACCACCGCACTTCTGCTCCACGCCTCTGGAGTAGTGCCACCATGGAGGACGGAATTGAAGAGCTTCTGAAGGACTTCAAGTACCGGTGTTCCACCCGCTTTCAGAAGCTCCGCTGTAATTCCATCCTCGCCTGGGGCCCTGCCGTTTTTAAGGTGCTGGAGAGCCATTCTAATCTCGTGTTTGCCATAGCAAATCCCTATCCACTCTGTCATAGGCCTTTTCCAAGTCCATGAACGTACAAAAAACCTTTTGATATTTTCGATTTTCGATAATAGAGAATAATACCAGGAGTAATCTAGACTAAATTTTATTCGAAATATTTAGAGAATTTATTAAAATAGAAATTGTTAAGATAAAACAAACGGTATTTAATGATTATCTTAACTCTAAATAGCCCCACACTAATAGATCCTACCCAAGAGAAGCCAAAACGGGTCGCTAGTTATAAACGTTATTTTAAAATAAATATACCTTTATTTTAAAATAATATATTATTTTATATATATTTTAAAATAATATATTATATTATATATAATTATACATTTCCTTCAAATATTTTCCCATTAATTGTAAATTTCCAATTAACTGAATAATATAACGCTATAACGATGTTATTAGCGGGTTTTTGCTATTGGTACTATGCGTGTGGAGATGGTACGGGCTAGATGAATCGCCATTTCTAATCCCATTCTTTTTCCGGACGGATTATAATTATGACTACGTGTGTAGTACCTAAATATAATTCAACTCAGAAAGAAATCCCTCTTTATTGTACATTTGACCCGGAGGTAGAATTAAAATATTAAGTTGTATAAATGCTTTGTTTTGGAGCAGGTTAAAACAATTTGTACACAAATGAATGAGAAAAGTTATCGCATTTTTATATTAATGTTATAAATGCCTTATTAAATAAAATTTTAAGCCTGACTTTTAGAGATTGACACTATCGGTAACATCTTATCGACTTGTCCCCAACTGGCAAAGATACACCTTACATGCAGCCTTTTAGTAATTATTTTAGATTTTTACATTAAAATATTATATTCGACATAATATTCTAAATGATTTAATTAATATTGACTGTTGTATAAAAACTGGGAATTAAACATAAACACTCACGCCTGTCACCCAGAGGGGTAGGCAGAGACTACAGACTTCCATTTGGCACGATCCTGACACACCTCTCTCGCCTCCTTCACATCCATACACCTCCGCATACATGCTCGTCGGTTAAGGGTACTCCTAATTTGGCCCGTTTTCAATAAATCGCCAATTTGGTCGATAAATTTTCGCCTAGGACGTCCCTTTCCGACTCTGCCATTCACTTCTGCAACATAAATTTTCTTTGTCACTCTTTCCTCATTCATTCTTTCCACATGACCAAACCACCGAAGCATTCCTTTCTTAATCCTGGTCACAACATCATCTTGCAAACCACACTCTTCTCTTATTACACAATTTCTTACCCTGTCATTAAGATTCAGCCCTAACATACTCCTTAACGACCGGAATAGAGTAAATGGGGCCCTGCACTCTATTGTGAAGAGTCAAAATGTGTCGAAAAAGGCACGTATGGCAATTCACAATGCTGTGTTGGTCCCTACTTTAACATATGGTAGTGAAAGTTGGGTGTGGCAGAAGAAGCACGAGAGTAGAATGAACGCAGTAGAAATGGGAATTAAATGGTTATTATTAATGTTATAAAGTAAAGATAAATAAATATTCTATTTATAATGTGTTTTACGATATTATAATATCGATCGAAGAGTTCTGAATCAATCGACAATTATATCGATGCAAGGCTATTCAGAACCAGTGTTTGTTTATATCATAACTTACGGTTATTTTGATAGAATACGGTTGACAAGCAAGCACATAGTCTACCTGAGGGTAAGTGAATGCTGTGCCCCGTAAACATTTACATCTACTCTCGTTTAAGAATTTAAAATATAAATGTGTTATTACCCCTAAGATGGAATGTTTCATTTTCAGTAGAAAGGGTCTCTGGTTCTCTATACTTACCATACGAAGCACAGCAGCATTAAGCTGTCATTTTACGCTGTCGACCTGACCCATTAAAGCTACAACCATAGCTGCAGCGTGGCTTTCAAACTAAAAGGGTTGCAGGTGTTACCTCCATATTCCAAATCCAGATGTCTGGGCAGTCTTCGTGGCCAGCCGACAACAGGTAGCGTCCATCCGGACTCCACGCGAGGTATGAAACACCAAACGAGTGCCCGTCGAAAGACTTCCTAGAACACAAGTTTGAAAGTACACACATCAAAAAGTTTGTTATCACTAGCAAAAGCTGATATATTTTTTAAATTTAACTTTATCAAGAAAAATTGTTTACGTTATATCTTTTTAAAAATAGAAATACACTGTTTAAAATTATAAAATAAAACTCATTTTTATTTTTTAATAACAAAAGTTGCGTAATTTGATGATAATGTAATTGTAACAGAAATTTGATAGAAAGAAAAAGATTGTTTAACTAAACTTATACAACAACAATTTATTAACAGAAGGTTTTTATTTAATACAATATAACTCGTCCGCTGGCTCGAACACATGCGGAGATCCTCTTGGTCATGCTGAGGATCAAGATATCCTAGGTGAATATCTTGATCCTCAGCGTTGCTTTCTTCTTGCGGTAACCTGTCCCATTCTTGAATGGCGGTTTCCCTTGATCTCTGGCACTGTCTGGGGAGGTGGCTGACGGTTCCAAACAGCTCGCTTAAGAGCATCCCAAGCGTGCTCTATTGGGTTTAATTCAGGAAAGCCGGCAAGCCAGTTTAACCTAGTGATGTCGTATTCTCGGAGCAGCATTGACTGGTTGAGCTCGATGTGGGGGCGCATTATCATTGACCAGTACGAATTGGTGTACATGGTTTACTCGGAATGGTCTATAAATTTCATCAATAGCGACTGTTTTGTACCTACCTGCCGTCATGGAGCGTCGATCAAAGGCGTTCTAGCTCCAACCATAGTTTAACCCCAAAAGGACACTGATTTCCCGCTTTTCTGAACGGTTCCACGTCGGTAATCTGGATGAGTATTCGATTCGCCAACCAAGAGACAGTTTTGTCAAATGTTTTCCTCCTCATCTTCTTCATTTTGCGGGAACCCACTGCAATCTCTTTCGCTGACATTGCCGTGAAATTAGAGGTGCTCGCCAAGACCTCCGTCCGTCCGTCCAGACTGGTGTAAGCAATTCTGAATGACATGAGTGCCAACTTCAAGTCGGAGAGGCGGCCTACACTTCTGCTTTTATTGTAGTTGCGTTGATTATTGGGTCACGGGCTGCCAGCAATGTAATATAGCAGCAGTCAGAACAGTTGGGCGAGCACTGCGGGGTCGGTCAGCTAAATTATCCTTGCCGTCGTACCTCTGCAACATGGCCATGACACAGGATGGGGATACACAAACTCTGCATGCTATTTCTCTCCTGGAATATCTTTCTTCCCTCAAAGTTACAATCCTTGCTCGTAAAACTTCTGATAATCCTCTTGGCCTTTTTTCAAACACAACTTTCCTCGAAAAAATATTTTAAATCCGTTCAAATTATATCCGTTAATCTGACTTAGTAGTCAGATTTCTGAATGAGCGTAAATTTGGATTGAATTTCTTTTTATATGGAAAACAATGCAATATGTTTTTTTTTCGATTTTTAAACCGATCGCAAACTCTTGTAGATAGTACCTGGATGACCGAGCTTTCCTCGGTATTTTTTTTTTGGAAATCGTGTGATTTGGAAATTATATTTAGATACAAATTACATACAGATGTAATGTATGTCAATAAGATCAAAAAATATTATTCATGTTTCATGAATATTTTTTGATCTTATTGACATAATAGAAAAACGATTTTATATATGATATTGAAAAAGTTTAATTTAAATTTTCGTATTTTTAAAAAATACTAAAAATAGGAAAAAAGTCGGACCGAAGACAGGACGCGAACCAGGGCACTATGATTTCGCGACGGCCCGATATCCACTTGAGCTATTTACGATCATTAATACCGTGTCAAAATTTACCTTCTTATATTGTAGCAGTTTTTCATTGCCTGAAAACACGGACAAAAGGATATTTTCTAAAAATGAATCCCAGCTAGATCGATTTATTGCCCCCGAAACCCCCTGGACACTAAATTTTATGAAAATCGCAGGAGCCATTTCTGAGATTGGTCGTTTAAAGGTATAGGATATATACGTAAATATATGTACACTGCTTCATTCTGCACAGCATATACAGTACCACTTATTACATAATATCACAAATACATTACATAATATTTGGTATACATGTGTCGGTATGCACATATTAATGGAGATGTTGACTACTCGCTGGTTATAATTCTATTCTACCGCCCGATATCAGCATTATTCTGAGATATTAGTGCTGTTAGTCTTTTTGCTTTTACAGCTTCATCTGACTTATATTCTTCATATGACACTGCCCGATATTCAGAATGCGGGCTGTATTTATACACCAGTAGTGATAATTTATTAGACGTTGGTTTATATACACTGCAGTATCCATATGTGTGTACATATATAAACTTGATTCTCTCTCTTTCTATCTCTATCTCAGTGTATCACACACACTATCTCACTCACTCTCACACACTCTCTCACTCACACTCTATCACACACTCTCTCACACACACTATCACACACACTCTTTCTCACACACACTCTCTCTCACACACATTTTATCTAATAGCAAAAAGCAGTGATGCACCAATATGTTAAATGTGGCTTATCCTGATTGTTGCAATGGAGGAAGTTATTTGTAGTTTTGAATTAAGAACTTATCGAAATACGATTGTTAACACAAAAAATACAATAGTATATTCTCAATCAATAGTATATTCCCATTAAGTCAGTCTATGGGGGAGAGCTATGTTCAGCCATGGACTTTTGATAGGTTGTAACGGTAACGAATGAAATGAGGTTTTAGATAAAAACAAATCCTTTTTATGTTCACAGGTTACAATTAAATAACGTTACCTTGATAAAATAACGAAAAATTGTAGAAGTATTCTTGAACCCTCGGAAGACATATTTTTCAATTTAATTTCAATCTTGTTTATATGAGACCAGAGTAAATACGCACTGAGTGTATGAAAATAAAACCAAACATGTGGACTTCCTTTTCAAAAAATCTAGAAAAGGTATTACTTATTCTATAAAGTACTAGTGATGCACCCCGGTTTCGCGCGGCTGATTTCTGTATCTCGAGAACAGCGCCACCTACCGAGTCCAGTTGTAAATCTAAACCATACAGAGACCCACCCAAACCAGACAAAACATTTCATCTAAATCGGTCCAGCCGATCTCAAGTGATGATCTTTCATATACCTTCTGTGTACTAAATATCGGGAATTTGTCAATAAAACAAAAAATACAAATTATTCATCTAAATTTATTTTATCGCCTTCAAAGTAGGCCCCATCGCTTGCAATACAACATCTCCAACGCTTCACCCAGTCTTCCATACATTTTTCATAGGCTATTTGCGGTATGGCCTTTAGCTCATTCAGCGAATTTTTTGTTATGGCTTCTATCGACTCAAAACGTTTTCCTCGAAGTGGTCATTTTATCTTGGGAAATAAAAAAAAGTCAGACGGAGCCATATCAGGTGAATACGGTGCTTGGTCGAGAACTTTTGTTGAATTTTTCGCTAAAAATTCTTTCACTATAATGGCTGTGTGTGATGGTGCATTATCATGGTGCAGCATCCATGAGTTGTGTTGCCACATATCTGGACGTTTTTGGCAGATACTCTCACGCAAACGCTTCATGACGCCTAAATAATATTCTTTATTCACTGTTTCTCCCTTTGGAAGGAATTCGGAGTGAACCACACCACGGTAGTTAAAAAAAACTGTCAGCATCACCTTGATTTTGGAGCGACTATGCCGCGGTTTTTTGGGTTTCGGCTCGTTTTCGAGACGCCATTCTGAAGACTGTTGGCTTGTTTGCATGTCGTACTCATAAACCCATGTCTCGTAGCCAGTTGTTATACGTTTCATAAAGGTCGGATCCGTAGAAGTTCGGGAAACCATGTCTTCAGCGACATGCTTTCGCTGCGCTCTTTGAACAAAATTGAGCTCTTTTGGAACTAGTCGAGCGGCGACGCGTTTTATGCCTAAAACGTCAATGAGAATGTTGTGGACGGACTTAAAAGATATGTTCACCTCACTAGCCAACTCTCTCAGATTTATACGTCGATTTTCGACCACTAGCTTCTTGATTTTGTCGATATTTTCTTTGGTCGTAGCGGTTGAAGGTCTACCAGAACGAGGCAAGTCTACTACTACTTCTCGGCCTTCTTTAAAAGCCTTATACCATTCATAAGCCCTTGTTTTCGATATACACGATTCGCCGTAGGTATTTCGCAACATTTTTAGTGATTCACCACATGAAATATCATTCGAAACACAAAATTTAAGGCACACTCTTTGTTCAACAATATTTTCCATTGTAAAAATCGCCGAGAACTCAAAACTATGACCAACAAAAAGTGTAGTTTAAAACAAATTAAATGACAGATCCCGCTCAAACTTTGCGCGCTAAATCAGTACAGTGCTACCAACATGCAGTAAAAAAATTAGAACGACCTCTTTTACGCGGGTCTTTTTATTGACATATTCCCGATACTTTTTACACAGAGTAGTATGCATCGATTTTAATTTATATAGATAATGTTGAAACCTGAAGGTGAGTCGCTTGGCAGCAGGGTCGTAGTCCCATATCATGACGGTGTTGTCTTTGGAGCCCGAGGCCAGCTTGGACCCGTCCGGTGACCACTTACAGTACCACACCTCGTCGCAGTGTTCGTTCAGTACCTGCAAAAATTTTTTTATACTTCAACTTATTATTGATATGGTGGTGTGTGTTGTGTAGTGTGTGCTGCGTATTGTGTGTGCTGTGTGGTGTGCTGTGTATTGTTTGTTGTGTGCTGTGTATTGTGTGATGTGATGTGTGCTGTGTGTTGTGTAATATGTACTGTGTATTGTGTGTGCTGTGTATTGCGTGTGCTGTGTGGTGTGCTGTGTATTGTTTGTTGTGTGCTGTGTATTGTGTGATGTGATGTGTGCTGTGTGTTGTGTAATATGTGCTGTGTATTGCGTGTGCTGTGTGCCTGGCGTGTGCTGTGTATTGTGTGTGCTGTGTGGTGTGCTGTGTATTGTGTGTGCTGTGTGGTGTGCTGTGTATTGAGTGTGCTATGTGGTGTGTGATGTGATGTGTGGTGTGTGTTGTGTAGTGTGTGCTGTTATGTTTTGTGTATTGTGTGTGCTGTGTGGTGTGCTGTGTATTGTTTGTTGAGTGCTGGATGTGTGCTGTGATGGTGTGATGTGATGTGTGCTGTGTGGTGTGGTGTATTGTTTGTTGAGTGCTGTGTATGGTGTGATGTGATGTGTGCTGTGGTGTGCTGTGTGGTGTGCTGTGTGGTGTGCTGTGTGGTGTGCTGTGTATTGTGTGATGTGATGTGTGCTGTGTGTTGTGTAATATGTGCTGTGTATTATGTGTGCTGTGTGGTGTGCTGTGTATTGTGTGTGCTGTGTGGTGTGTGATGTGATGTGTGGTGTGTGTCGTGTAGTGTATGCTGTGCAGTGTGTGCTGTGTAATGTGTGCTGTGTGGTGTGTAGTGTGATGTGTGGTGTGTGGTGTATGTTGTGTACTTTGTGGTGTGTGGTGTGTGTGTCGTGTAGTGTGTGCTGTGTAATGTGTGCTGTGTGTTGTGTAGTGTGATGTGTGGTGTATGGTGTATGTTGTGTACTTTGTGGTGTGTGGTGTGTGTGTCGTGTAGTGTGTGCTGTGTAATGTGAGCTGTGTGGTGTGTAGTGTGATGTGTGGTGTGTGGTGTATGTTGTGTACTTTGTGGTGTGTGGTGTGTGTGTCGTGTAGTGTGTGCTGTGTAATGTGTGCTGTGTGGTGTGTAGTGTGATGTGTGGTGTGTGGTGTATGTTGTGTACTTTTCTTTTAACTTGTGGTGTGTAGTATGGTGTGTGGTGTATGTTGTATACTTTGTGGTGTGTGTCGTGTAATGTGTGCTGTGTAATGTGTGCTGTGTGGTGTGTAGTGTGATGTGTGGTGTGTGGTGTATGTTGTGTACTTTGTGGTGTGTGTGTCGTGTAGTGTGTGCTGTGTAATGTGTGCTGTGTGGTGTGTAGAGTGATGTGTGGTGTGTGGTGTATGTTGTGTACTTTGTGGTGTGTGGTGTGTGTGTCGCGTAGTGTGTGCTGTGTGGTGTGTAGTGTGATGTGTGGTGTATGTTGTGTACTTTGTGGTGTGTGGTGTGTGTGTCGTGTAGTGTGTGCTGTGTAATGAGTGCTGTGTGGTGTGTAGTGTGATGTGTTGTGTGTGGTGTATGTTGTGTACTTTGTGCTGTGTGGTGTGTGTGTCGCGTAGTGTGTGCTGTGTAATGTGTGCTGTGTGGTGTGTAGTGTGATGTGTGGTGTGTGGTGTATGTTGTGTACTTTGTGGTGTGTGGTGTGTGTGTCATGTAGTGTGTGCTGTGTAATAGTGCTGTGTGGTGTGTAGTGCGATGTGTGGTGTGTGGTGTATGTTGTGAGCTGTGTGGTGTGTAGTGTGATGTGTGGTGTGTGGTGTATGTTGTGTACTTGTGTGTGTGTGTGTGTCGTGTAGTGTGTGCTGTGTAATGTGAGCTGTGTGGTGTGTAGTGTGATGTGTGGTGTGTGGTGTATGTTGTGTACTTTGTGGTGTGTGGTGTGTGTGTCGTGTAGTGTGTGCTGTGTAATGAGAGCTGTGTGGTGTGTAGTGTGATGTGTGGTGTGTGGTGTATGTTGTGTACTTTGTGGTGTGTGGTGTGTGTGTCGTGTAGTGTGTGCTGTGTAATGTGTGCTGTGTGGTGTGTAGTGTGATGTGTGGTGTGTAGTGTGATGTGTGGTGTGTGGTGTATGGTGTGTACTTTGTGGTGTGTGGTGTGTGGTGTATGTTGTATAATTTGTGGTGTGTGGTGTGTGTGTCGTGTAGTGTGTGCTGTGTAATGAGTGCTGTGTGGTGTGTAGTGTGATGTGTGGTGTGTAGTGTATGTTGTGTACTTTGTGGTGTGTGGTGTGTGTGTCGTGTAGTGTGTGCTGTGTAATGTGTGCTGTGTGGTGTGTAGTGTGATGTGTGGTGTGTGGTGTATGTTGTGTACTTTGTGGTGTGTGGTGTGTGTGTCGCGTAGTGTGTGCTTTGTAATGTGTGCTGTGTAGTGTGTAGTGTGATGTGTGGTGTGTGGTGTATGTTGTGTACTTTGTGGTGTGTGGTGTGTGTGTCGTGTAGTGTGTGCTGTGTAATGTGTGCTGTGTGGTGTGTAGTGTGATGTGTGGTGTGTGGTGTATGTTGTGTACTTTGTGGTGTGTGGTGTATGTTGCGTACTTTGTGGTGTGTGGTGTGTGTGTCGTGTAGTGTATGTTGTGTACTTTGTGGTGTGTGGTGTGTGTGTCGTATAGTGTGTGCTGTGTAATGAGTGCTGTATGGTGTGTAGTGTGATGTGTGGTGTGTGGTGTGTACTTTGTGGTGTGTGGTGTTTGTTGCGTAGTGTGTGCTGTGTAATGTGTGCTGTGTGATGTGTGGTGTATGTTGTGTACTTTGTGGTGTGTGGTGTTTGTTGCGTAGTGTGTGCTGTGTAATGTGTGCTGTGTGATGTGTGATGTGTGGTGTATGTTGTGTACTTTGTGGTGTGTGGTGTTTGTTGCGTAGTGTGTGCTGTGTAATGTGTGCTGTGTGATGTGTGGTGTATGTTGTGTACTTTGTGGTGTGTAGTGTTTGTTGCATAGTGTGTGCTGTGTAATATGTGCTGTGTGATGTGTGGTGTATGTTGTGTACTTTATGGTGTGTGGTGTTTGTTGCGTAGTGTGTGCTGTGTAATGTGTGCTGTGTGATGTGTGGTGTGTGGTGTATGTTGTGTACTTTAGGTGTGTGGTGTGTGTGTCGTGTAGTGTGTGCTGTGTAATGTGTGCTGTGTGGTGTGTAGTGTGATGTGTGGTGTGTAGTGTGATGTGTGGTGTGTGGTGTATGTTGTGTACTTTGTGGTGTGTGGTGTGTGTGTCGTGTAGTGTGTGCTGTGTAATGTGTGCTGTGTGGTGTGTAGTATGGTGTGTGGTGTATGTTGTATAATTTGTGGTGTGTGGTGTGTGTGTCGTGTAGTGTGTGCTGTGTAATGTGTGCTGTGTGGTGTGTAGTGTGATGTGTGGGTGTATGTTGTGTACTTTGTACTGTGTGGTGTGTGTGTCGTGTAGTGTGTGCTGTGTAATGTGTGCTGTGTGGTGTGTAGTGTGGTGTGTGGTGTATGTTGTGTACTTTGTGGTGTGTGGTGTGTGTGTCGCGTAGTGTGTGCTGTGTAATGTGTGCTGTGTGGTGTGTAGTGTGATGTGTGGTGTGTGGTGTATGTTGTGTACTTTGTGGTGTGTGGTGTGTGTGTCGTGTAGTGTGTGCTGTGTAATGAGTGCTGTGTGGTGTGTAGTTGTGATGTGTGGTGTGTAGTGTGATGTGTGGTGTGTGGTGTATGTTGTGTACTTTGTGGTGTGTGGTGTGTTGTGTGTCGTGTTGTGTATGTTGTGTACTTTGTGGTGTGTGGTGTGTGTGTCGTGTAGTGTGTGCTGTGTAATGAGTGCTGTGTGGTGTGGTGTAGTGTGATGTGTGGTGTGTGGTGTATGTTGTGTACTTTGTGGTGTGTGGTGTTTGTTGCGTAGTGTGTGCTGTGTAATGTGTGCTGTGTGATGTGTGGTGTGTGGTGTATGTTGTGTACTTTGTGGTGTGTGGTGTTTGTTGCGTAGTGTGTGCTGTGTAATGTGTGCTGTGTGATGTGTGGTGATGGTGTACGGGTGTGTGGTGTTGTTGCGTAGTGTGTGCTGTGTAATGTGTGCTGTGTGGTGTGGTGTATGTTTACTTTGTGGTGTGTGTGTTGTTCAAGTGTTCTGTTAATGTGTGGTGTGTGGTGATGTGTACTTGGTGTGTGTTTTGTTGCGTAGTGTGTGCTGTGTGCGTGTGGTGTTTGTATTTTTACTTTGTGGTGTGTGGTGTTTGTTGCGTAGTGTGTGCTGTGTATTGCATTGTACTGTTAGTGGGGCGCGTGTCTGCAGTTGGTACCTGCAGCGGGTGTATGGGGAAGCGGTCGGGCGAGCAGTGGTGGTCGGCCAACAGCGAGTAGGGGATGTGGTCGGGCGGCACGGGGCGCGGCGCCGCGTGGAAACGGCAGCGTGCCGCTTGCTGCGCCACCGCCTGCGCCAGCAGCGCGCGCAACCGCCCCGGTGCCATCATCAGCGCCGGCGGGAGCACCGCCTGCAGCACAACATCATGTCTGTCAGACAGTGGCTAGTGATGAATATATGCGAGGGTAGAACTCGAAACCCTCGTTTATCAGTTGTAAAATCTGTCACTGTTACATTAACGTGGGCGACAACACGTCGTCTTTCAGACAGTTTAGTCAGTCTAGAAAATTGAACGAAATGAATATGTGAGAGTACAACTCGAAATCCTGGATTGAGCAGTATTAAAGCCGTTTCGCTATCTCGTTCGCTTTATGGCCGTAAGCGCTACTGCCGGTCATGTGGTCGCGGGCCAAATTCAGTTATTGGGTTTTTCAGTCGAAAAAAGTAGACCTTTTAGGGGCTAGAAAAATAGATAAAACCGTTGGTCTCCTTGCACTCCCATACTATATTCCTGTCTAAAGCGCACGCATGCACAGCGCGGCCGCGTTGGCGTACATGATGAGTCAAAAGCGGTGCAGCAACTGCTGACCTACACGCAGGTCGCACATACAGCGGTGCGGCAGCTATAGACCTGAGCACGCACGCTACACCCGATGCTTCGCAGCCGCTACTGACCTGCACTCGCGCCAGCACCGCAGCACGCGACAGCGGTCCAGCCCCCGGCCAGCGTGCTCGCGCGCGGAGCTCTGCCGCGTCGGCGCACATCATGAGCGCGGAAAGGCGGTGCACGCGCGCCGTGTCGTGCTGCAGCGGCGTCAGCTCGTTGCGCAGCACGTGTAGCGCGTCCAACGCGCGGCCCGCCTCCAGGTGCTCCAGGTACTTCTGCTCCAGCACCACGAACTTCATCTCCTGCCCAACCCACACACCCAAATGCTTAAAATCCTGCTGCGCCATAGAAGCCTAAGCGTCACTAAAAAATTATATATTACCAGACCGGCAATTAAAAACAAAAACTATATCACAACTGCGGATGGTACGTTAAATACGCCACGTATTTGTATTTTCATTTACTACAGTTACTGTTTTCATACAAATACAAAATAAAGTTCTATATTTATCTAAAAGAAACTTCAAATCACGTTGATAAAAGGCGAACGTAAATAATGACAGGGTTTTCTTATTCAAATTTTATACCAAATCAGTGTTAGATTGTCGATAACAAAGTTCGCGGTTCACAAAACAAAATACTAGTCTTCTCGCTTGCCCGTATTCGACCCAAGGAGTTAGGGAGAATCGAGCGTAAGTTAGTGTGCAACGTATTAAGGCCACAAAGCCATCATATACATAGACATCTCTGATTGTCATGCAAAATTACTATACGCAAATAAAGAAGTAATTCATCAGTTTTGATCTTTGAGCACCAAAATGCTGAAGATACAGTAAAACTCAGCCAGTAAATGCCTCTTTGGTCTGTTGGTGGCAAGCGCTATTGATCATGAGGCCCCGGGTTCGAGTCTCGTGTGGGCTGAATTCAGTAATTGAATTATTCCCATTAAGAAATGTTTAGTAGCAGCCTGGTGTCCAGTTTCGCCCTCGCAAAACACGAAAAGCCGTTGGGTCTGCGCCTGATTTCTATCAGTTCGTGTCAGATTACAGTCTCATCAAGCTAGGAGAGTATAAATATAGAGACTGCATCTGTGATTGCGCATACACCTTTGCACTATATGCCTGCCTTGCTCAGATGGCTCGACATCGTTGTAAATGGCCATCGTGACCCAAATTAGGTTAGTCTTAGAAATCGACTAGATTTTATTAATATTATACTACTGAATACAATCAATGCACTCGTATAATGATTTCTTATCAATATATTATAATATTACGGACTTTATCACGTTTAATTCGATCCATACGCGCTGCATCCAGAATACACTTTAGTACAGTACAGTAGTCTATTAACAATACGTAGCAAAAATCATCATCATCATCATTATTATTACGGCCCTCCACAAGTCCACTGCTGAATATAGCATCACCCTAAGGAATGTAACAAAGCATGATCCTGAGACACGAGCATCCATCGATGTAAAGAATACCAGCATAAAATAGCTACATATTTCTGCTCTTTTACTTGTGGTGAGAGGCTAGCACCCAAAGCTAAATTCCTCTACTTCAGTTCTAACGGTCCGCACTTACGGACAGATTGTGGGGTTCTACGTGGGGCGAGTCCCGCAGCAAGTCGTGCAGCGCGCGCAAGTCGTAATCGGCCTTCACCCAGTCACCGGCCAGCACGTGCTGACGGAACGTCGCCGCAGCTGGATGCTCCAGGTGCAGACCCGACTCCTCCATCAGAAGCGTTGCGCTGCGCCTGCCAACATTAACGCTGGATGTAATAAAGGTGGAGATGGCGTCGGCTCCGCGGCGCAGTGACTTAGCAATGAGTTGCGACACTGAGGGTCGCGGGTTAGAATACCACACGGAACGAGTATTAGTATATTATAAATAAGCAAATTTCCGGGTCTGGATGTTTGTCCCTGTGGAATTTATGTATATAAACTACCTCCACGATACAGGAAAAATTCCTACTGTTGGGTAACGCTTTTTTTTTATAAAAAATTGGTTGACCCTGCAGGCCATCCGTGGAACTTCACGCTAATTTCAAATGCATAGCGCTCCAAATTTCACCAAATCATGTTGCGAAATCTTAAAAAACGGTTTTTTTTTTCAAATTCTTTCTCCTTCGATATCTCACATTTGACGTCATTCTTAAGAGGTTTTGAGAGAGAGCTGATTAGTTTTTGAAATCGATCGGTAATGCCATTTAAAAGTTGTTCCTAAAAAACAGTTTTTCAAAATTTTTATTTTTGAGATTTCTCAAAATCTACTCGTCCGAAACAATTCATATTATCACCAAATTTATTCCACATTGAGATCTTTAGAACGCCGCAAGCCGCATCGCAATGAATCCAGACGGTCAAAAGTTATGAAAGGTTTACATACACACACTCACACTCACACACACACACACACACACACACACACACACACACACGCACACACGCACGCACGCACGCACGCACGCACGCACGCACTCACGCACGCACGCACACACACACGCACTCACGCACACAAACAACACACACACACAGAGAGAGAGAGAGAGAACACACATACAGAGAGAGAGATACACACAGACATACACACAGCACACAGAAACAACACACACACACACACACACACACACACACACACACACACACAGAGAGAGAGAGAGAGAGACACACACACACACACAAACACACACACACGTGACACGTGAACTTAGTCAGAATAGCTTCCTGGGATCTCAAATCGTCGAGATCTTATGAAAACTCTATTTTCGAAAATCGGGGTGAAACCAATAATTTCTCTATTTTTAAAAATTTTCAATTTTCTTAGCGGGAATTTAAAAAAGATAAAGTAAAAAGATGGATTGTGATGTTGTCTAACTAAAAGTAGGCTGCACTAAAAGTATCGGGAATGGAATATTTCCACTGTTCCAGTCATAAAAAAAAAGTCAAAAACAGAACAAAAACAGTGTGTTGACCGGATGATTTCTGCATTGGTGATGAAGCCCCATCCAAAACTACAATTTGTCGCTGGTTTGCTGAATTTCAACGTGGACGTGTCAAGCTCACTCAAGAAAACGTAGATGCTGTGCGTAAGCTGATTGAGGAAGATCGACATGTAACATACCGGGAAATTCAGGCAACTTTAGACATTGGCATGAGTCAAATACAAATAATCTTGCATGAACAATTAGGTGTAAAAAAAGTTGTTTTCCCGATGTATACCGCATTCGCTCCGTGAAGAGCAAAAAGCGGCTCGCGTTACTTGGTGCGAACTCTCGAAAGATTCCACGCAGGATCCTCAAATGCTGTATACAACATCGTATCAGGTGACGAATCCTGGATATGAATGGTATGATACGAACCCGAAACAAAAAACCAGTCACGAGTTTGGGTATTCGAAAATGAGTTAATGCCAACAAAAATTTTTCGTTCATGGAGTGTTGCAAAAAAAAATGGTTGCCACGTTTGTCTCCAAAACCGGCCAAGTTACGACTATTCCTCTTGAGGGACAAAGAACGGTTAATGCAGAATGGTATGCTAGCATTTGTTTGCCACAGGTCGTTTCTGAACTCCGTAAAGAGAACTGCAACCGCCGCATCATCCTTCATCACGAGAATGCGAGTTCTCACACCGCACACAGAAGAAAAGTTTTTAGAGCAAGAAAACATAGAATTATTAGACCATCCGCCGTACAGCCCCGACCTAAGCCCTAATGATTTCTATACTTTCCCTAAAATAAAGAATAAATTCCGTGGAGAGATTTTCATCACCTGAAGAAACTGTGGACGCCTACAAAACTGCCATTTTGGAGACCCCAAATTAATACATAACTACATCCTTTTTTACATAGAAAGTCCAAGGCGATGGTTGCTACATGTCTGCTGTTTTTTGTTTTAACAAAGTTCATCTTATGGTCAGTGGATACTGTGGCCCATAGACGTCTATCACCGATTAAAAATCCAAATGCAGATGCGTTGACACCCCTGAAGACTAAGATGGAATGCCTCGTTTCCAGTAAAATGAGTCTTCTATTCTCTACACTCACCATATGAAACACAGCAGCATTACACTGCTATTTAACGCTAGTATTCCGTGAAAGCGTAGTTCTACCCCAGTCGAGCCAACCCATTCGTGCTACAACCACAATATAGCTGCAGCGTGGCTCTACTACGAAAACACTAGGTTCACTGATAAGCTCAAATTTTCTATCATCTCCTTTACAGCTCAAAAGTGTAATATCTTTATGGTATTGTTGCACGCCTAAGTTGACGCCAGGTAGATGGCACTAGCGCCATCTAGTGTCGGGGAAAAGAGCGAGGAGGGCTTCCTAGAAAATGTCAATCTTGACTTTCGACCAACAGCGCCATCTAGTATCGAACAGAAGAATTAAGCTTTCTAGAAGCCCCACACTCGAACTTTCTGCGTCTGGTCGGTCGGCGCCCGTATCTACGCGAATATTCTGGATGTTTCGATGTAAAAGTGTATTTAAACCCGGTGCATGCCACGATCGACGCAGTACTGAATTTGGCGAGACAAGCGAAGCTTCGCAGCGAAATAAAGTGAATCAGTGTGATTAATTATTAGTGTCTTTTATGTTTTAATTAGTGTAAAGTGAATTAAAGTGTTAATTTTGGTAATTCTATCGGCAATGTTTATTGTCACGAACCTCGAGCTCGTAACAATTGGTGTCAGAAGTGGTATAAAATCATGTCGATTTTACCTAATGAGGAATCGGAGGGTGTCCGTACCCGAAGTCAACGCCAGCAGGAGACAGGTCAGAGAAGATTTGGTGGTGTAACGCCGCAGACGTCGGGGGGCCAACTGCCAGCCACGGAGGCTGGCCCGTCAGCAGCTCCTACACCTGCAGCACCTAACTTAGGTGCTCTCATGATGATGCTGCAGGAACAGGCCCGTTGGTTGAAGGAGCAGCAGGAAGAACAGGCCCGCCAGCAGGCGGAACAGGCACGCTGTTTGGAAGAGCAGCTGCAGCACGGACAGGAGGAACAGGCCCGCCGACAGGAGGAACAGGCCCGTCGTTTGGAACAGCAGCTCAAACGCGATAAGGCAGAGCAGATGCTCCTCATGAAGGACATTCACGCTACCTTCGGGAAAGAGATAAGGGAGGTGAAGGATAAGGTTGCTCAACATCACAACCGCCTGTTGGAAGCTGAAACCCGAATCGACCAAGTGAACAATCGGGTTGACCACGTAATGGCTGACGTGAAGAAAACGCTCGACGACCTCAAACTGGGGGATGGAATTACAGCTCCCGTAGTAGCTACAACACCTTCGCTACGTGGGTTCAAAGTGCCGTCGTTCGATGGGAATTCTTCCTGGTCAGCCTACAAAATCCAGTTCGAGGCTGTCATGGAGGCAAACGGCTGGAAGAAAAGCCAGGCCATGACTGCACTCACCCTAGGCCTGCGCGACCAAGCCTTAACTGTGTTGGAAGCTCTCGGTAAGAACGTGACCTACGAGCAGCTCCTTGTGGCATTGGAGGCGAGATATGGCGACGCTCACCTGGAACACGTCTTTCGCACACAGCTTAAAGATCGCGTACAACACAGCAACGAAAACCTGCAGCAGTGGGCCCTTGAGGTGGAGAAGATGGTTCGGAAAGCATACCTGTCTGTACCTGCGCTCATTAAGGGCAACCTGGTGCAGACATTCATCGACGGCATCCACGACCATGAAGTCAGAGCTGCTGTGAGGCTGGGGCACCACGAGACGCTTAAGGACGCCTTGGTCCATGCACTGGAGGTGGAAGCCGTGCGGCAGGATCTTCGCTCTCATCAGGGAGTTTGTGGCAGCTTCAGTTCGCAACTGCAATAAAGGATACAGCTCTAGGTGCTATGGCTGTGGGAAAAGGGGCCATCTTCGATCTAGCTCCCATAAGCAAACCGTAGAAAGGGAAGGTGAACGATATCAGGAGGGTGGTGCGGCTAACAGCCCCGCCCAGCAGCAGCAGGGAAACGATTAAAAGCCAGAACTGCGGGGCGTGCTGGCTGATGTTAAAAGAGCCCCAAGGATCTCGATCTCAAAAATCCATGATGGGATCAGTCTAATCATCAAGGGCGAGGTCAACAGAATGCCGTGTAAACTGACCATAGACACTGGAGCCTCTCGCACGGTTGTTAGTTCCCAACTTATAAGACAGTTCCTTGGGGACTCCGCATACAACCGAGAACGCATTAATTTGGTAACAGCAACCAGTCAGCGTATACGCGTCCGTGGAGAGAAAGAGATGGAGTTGAAACTAGGCAACATGATCTACCTGCATAATGTCATCGTGGCTGATATAATGGACGACTGCATCCTGGGCCTAGGCTTCATGAGGAAAAATTGTTGAAAGTTGCAATATCGCATTCCAGGAGCTCAAGGACCGTCTGTGCAAAACACCTATTTTGGGATACCCTGATGCAAGCAAAGAATTTATAGTTGACACAGACGCAAGTGATATAGGACTTGGCGGTGTGTTGTCTCAACGGAATGGTGACCAAGAGGTCGTGATAGCGTACTTCAGCAAGTCGTTGTCAAAACCGGAAAGGAACTATTGTGTCACAAGACGCGAATTGCTAGCTGTGGTAACGTCGTTGCAGCATTTTAGCAAATATCTTCTGGGGCGGAAATTTCACTTACGAACTGACCATGCTGCACTAAAATGGCTATTGCAGTTTAAAAATCCAGAAGGACAAGTTGCGAGGTGGATTGAACTACTGCAGGAATACGACTTTGAGATCGAACATCGCAGCGGGAA